GGAAAAGGGAGGGGGGGGGGGGGGAAGGAGGGGTCTGATCATTCCAATGGATACCAATAGAAATTAGAATACTTCTATGAATATAGTAATGAAAACATACAGATGAAACTATATGTGGGAGAGACATATACCGTAGACGTTCTTGGCGTCCATATAGAATACCTCTGTGTATTTCTGCAAGTCTGAACCTCGGTTTCCGGGAGAACTTTGTAAATGGACCCAAACTAGAGACGGATTATTCGACATCCACTAGTTTATCAGTGATCTTAATACCTTATACCCTTATTAAATGAAGTCGCTAACCAACTAACTGGACAATTGAGCTGACAATCCCCTGGTTGGATCTATCCCTGTCCAAACCTAAATCTAAATCTAAGGCTCTGTACCTGTCCCGGACAAATCTGTCAATAATATCTCGGGCGTGGACTTCAATGATCAACACTGTGTTAAATTTCTTGCGATCGTTTTGCGACAAATTAGAACGGATCTAAACAAGATATAAGTAGGCAATGAAATAAATAGTGACTAGAAATAATTTATCAATTATTGTCATCTTTTTCGAACAGCCCTCTGTAGCTCAGTTGGTTAGAGCACTGCACCGGAATCGCAGGGCCGCAGGTTCGATTCCTGTCCGGGACCTAAAGTTCTAGGTTTAATAAATGCATGTGTATAAATTTCCACTCGATAATTTCCATCTACAAACTACAATGCCTTTCAACTATTATTCAATCGAGTGAGATGCCAGCAAAATCTTGTTTTGAAATCCCTACCCTATACATAAAAACACAGAGTATTACGTACCTTGACAACCAGTTCATCAATTTGTTTGTGCATTTTCCTGGCGTAATTTTTCATTCCCATCTTGTCGCCTTTCTTGACTTTCTGAAAAACATCTTCAACCTCCCATGTCCACCAAACCTGATTGCCAGCCAACACTACCATGCCTTGGTAAGATAACATCCAGTCAACCCTACAGAAATATGAAAACGTACACATTATTTCATCTATCGGCAATTTAACGGGCTTTTGATCGCACAGTGGTTACGGGTCCACCGGACAAAGCGTTATACCGGATAGTTGAAAAATATCCAGCTGGATACCGGATATCGAGTATATAAGGTTCTCCTCGTAATAATGGTTCTAAGGATATACAAACCTCTCAATATTATCACAGTACTTATAGATCGCTTCTTTTGTGATCAGTCTGTTGGTTCGTCTCATCTCATTCAAAACATTAGTCATCCAGTCTTCAACCCTGCCTTCTGTGGCAATAGCTTGCCTGAACTGCATCACTTCACCTTCACCCGAGATCATTGCCGTAGCTACAGTTTCGTTTGAAGAACCGCTTTGGAAACGAAGACTTGAAATATTGTCGAACATCTGAAAGAGGGGAGAACGGTGGTAAAACTTTAATTCTTATACGGTTTAAAGTAACTTAATTATTGCCTCCGTCAGAAGGTAAGGTCGTTTTCATCCACGTTTCACTGGAAAAAATTGTGAAATCCATACTATGTAATTTGCAATTGCATCACTAAAGCCCTGGGCAAACTAGGAAACATTGTTGCGGAAACATTGTTTCCTACCAACGTTTCGCCATGATTCCAAGAGTGGGCAAACACTAGGAAACATTAGTGAGAAACATAGAGAAACATCAAATGTTTCTGAATTCGCTACGAAACATTTTTGCCTCTCGGGAAGCGAATTTTGTTTCCGCAACAATGTTTCCACGGGTGGGCAAACAGGGAAACATTTGAGGAAACATCGAGAATCACAAATGTTTCCGCAACAATGTTTCCTAGTTTGCCCAGGGCTTAAATCCATAGTATATCCATATTATTTCCATACTATATCTAATTATCTACTACATAATATAGAAATTGAAACTAGTATGAAAATTGGATTTCCATACTAATTCCAACCAAGATCCATATACTATTTCCATAGTGAAGATTTGGAAAAAAAATTCCAGTGCTTGTATGAGTGTCTGTGTGTGTTAGCACGATACCTTAAAATATCAAACGTATTAACACGAAAATTTGTGGGATTAATGGACATTGATATCGAAATCGATATCCATCGTTGATATGCCTTCGGTACACTGTCTATGTGGTCACTATATAGTCGTCTACTTCTTTCAAGAAACCTCCTACTCTAAATTCTACTGGAAATCCTGCAAACGCTGGTCACAGAAGTGAAAGACATATGGCCTAACGCAACTGTGCTACTAAATTCCTGGAATTCTACAATTGACCTTAATCATATGTTCTTGCACGCAGGTCGGATCGTGACTTCCAAGAATTGACAGCAGTTCGTCATCAGAGATGAAGAAAAATCTTGGAAATGCATTTCTCTTGGAGTCCAAATAATCATTCAGACTTTTCTGACATTTCTCCAATCCATTCACCAGACTTTGCATTGTTTCCAGTCTTCCGGCCGCGTGGCACGAGTCCAGGACTTTCGAATTCTTCGCTGTTTCATTCATGATCTGGGCAAATGGAAAAGTAAGGTAAATTGCTAGGAACTACAACACTGATTTAATCTTTAAATACAAAATAACATGAAACATTTCCTCTTCACTGAGAGCATCGAGAGCATTTGGACGAATTTGGACAGCGATATATTGTTGTAGTAGCATTAACTATTCAAAGTTCAAGCATCTTCTTGAATTTTCAAAGCTTACCTTTTTGAACGTCTTATCAATTTCATCAAACTTTCTTGCTTCTTCAGGCAACTGAGATCTGATATCTCCTCCAATAAAAATACTTTCTAAATACATCCATTTGCGTTGAACTACCATCCACACCTACAGGAGAGAATGTTCGATCAATGTTTTCATAACAAAACCAACTTAAAATCCAGTGTTACAACTTTTCACAGGAGGAAACCTAAACTTAATTACTTTTATTTATACTGGATACCTCTATCAGTTCTAAACTGTTCTCTCTAGAGATCCAGTAAAACCATCCTTATTGTTCCAGTGTTACTACATGAGTGTAGTAAACTAGCTTTATTTATACTGGATAGTTCTATCAGTTCTAAACTGTTGTCCCTAGAAGTCAAGTAAATGCTATCCCTTATTATTGGTCGAGAGTTAGTACAGAAAGAAACCGAAGTACTTGGAAAAACCCTGTGGTGTTTGGTAGAGTCAAACTGGAAGTTCTCGTCTCATATGCGACTGAGACAAATTATTATAAGGCAACTCCATATACCAGGGGTCAAATCCCGATTGGTGAGATTCAAGGCTCATGAACAAACTATTTTGCCCCGCCCAAATTTTGCCCATAACGTTCAAGCCTTACCTCAACGACCTCACCAATATGTGATAAGCTTTTCTCCCACTTGTTCACAGTCTCCAAGAACGGTCCAACAAAGCGCGATGCTGACATGCTCTGGAGATTCATAGCATTATCATCCAGTATCTGTAAGATCTCATCCACTGCTCCAATAACAAAGCCACGCTCCTGTGTGCCTTTCATGTACTTTGATACTGTAAACTTCATGGTACCCCAAGTTTCGGATACCTCGTTTATACCTGTGCAAGGTAAGAAGATTCATGGATATGGCCTTTGCAGTCAAAACATTGAGTGAGTGGTTGGCATGAGGAACAGTGGAATTTTCAGAGCTAATGAAATGACAAAAGAGCATTCTGATTACTGGATAGTGACTGGATGGCATGGAAAACAGTAAGATTTTCAGAAGGAGGAAAAGACAATGGAACATTCCGAACACTGAATCGTGACTGGATGGTATGGAGAACAGTGGGATTTTCAAAACAATGAAAAGACAATGATGCACCATTGTTATGTCAAGTGGTCGGCTCTTCCATGAACTTATTATATACGATTTCAGTACGATGAGTATAGGAATACTGACCAAATGGTCATTATTCCAACAATAATTCAAACCTAATCCTTACACCTTAACTCAAATCTTAATCGTAACACTTATCGTGCCTAATCACAAACCTAACCCTAACGTTAATCCTAACTTGAATAATAACCTTTAACTTAATCCAATGGCGTAACTTTGTGCTAAGCGTCCCCTGTCTCCAACTGAAAAGGGCTCCATCAGGTCGCTAGATGCATCGATGGGACATTGACACTTCAAATCCTTCAAGATGTTTGAAAGTCCCTATCAATATCTAAGAATATTGGATTCCTACAACAACTAGGCCGGAGTGTAGGAGTTAAGCCACTGTCCTAACCTGATCCTAACCCGTTAACAATCCTAATTCTGACCTTAACTTAAAACTATGCATCATCATATTCTGGTTACGTTATTCCGAAATTAAGTAAGCAATGAGGCTGATCTAGAACTATAATAGTCAATACCTTTCTCAATGCTCAGTTCTTTCGTCGCACTTCCAGTGATGTCAGCAATAACATCACTAAAGCGATGCAGTTCCATGGCGAACATGTTTTGCAGAGTGAATGTCTCGGGGTTCAGGTCAAATTTCATGCCAGTTAGTTCCATCAGTTTTTTCCAATGCCTGAAAGCAATAATGTACTCTTTTAATCTTTTGCTACAAGTTTTAGCTTAAGAGGAAGGGTTCCTTCAATAGCAGACCTACAAAAACCTGGCAGGGGAAACCAAATTTTCCATAGGGCGCGCTTGCCCCACACTCGCAGACTCCAGTAAGACAGATATATTTTATCCCGACTGTAAAATGTCATAACAATGAGTGACAGGCTGGCATGGAGAACAGCGGGATTTTCAAAACAATGAGAAGACAATGGAACATTCAGATCACTGGATCATGACTGGATGGCATGGAGAACAGTGGGGTTTTCAAAACAATGGAAAGACAATGGAACATTCTGATCACTGCATCGTGACGGGATGGCATGGAAGACAGTGAGGTTTTCAAAACAATGAAAATCTCAGTTTCTATTGTCTATCTCTAACGAATGACGGTTCACATCTGCCAATCTCTGCGAGATTATGAAATCGTTCCGGTCTCTTTAACAGAAGTGACATCTTCATGAAAATCATACCTTTCCCTTAAAGCTTCATTCTTGAGGTCGGAGAAAAGCGGGATTGATTCCTTGAATTCCTTCATCTTTTCCTCCAAAATATGACATATTGGCAACGCCTTCACCTGACGAGGAAGTCTTTTGAGTTCTTTAGTAAAACCATCGATACCATCAGATAGAACGTTCACGTCCAGATTTGCCCACAGTGTGTTCGACCATTCATCCCGGGCAGCCTGCGGGGAAAATAATGACGATGTTATCAAGACAAACATAGCTGTGACAGGAGAGATCAATAGGACAAATCACAATTAATGATGTAGGATAGTTCAAGACTTCGATATAGAAGCCGGAGCCATGTACGTGGATAATTTAAGGCCTATACACAAGGCCGCCAAGGGGTTGCGCGGGGTCCAGGGCTAAACTTTCCCAGGAGGTCCCATGATGCTTAATATTTCCACAAAGCCTGAAAATAAGTTTGACAATTTGCACAATTGAAAACATGGCCAGGAAAATAATGGCAACAATTCTTAGTATTTTGCCTTCGGCTTTAGGTAGGAATTTTTATACATAGGGTGTATAGCCAGGACAATTACCTTTTGTCTTTCATAAATCGAGAATATTTGCTCCAATCCTTTGAGTTCCTGTTCCATGTTCATCAACACTGGATATGATGTGATTGGGATGCCAAATAATTTCTCAGCATTGGCAAGTTCTTGGCGTTCTCTTTCAAATTTCATAAACTCCTCTTTAAACTGTTTTAACAACTCCACACCTACAATATTGAGAAAAAACATTGTTTTTTTTAAAAAATACAGCAAATGTTTCGAGGGTCGTGTTCTCTTTTTCTTCGGAAAATTTGTGTTATTCTAGCTTGCGAGCAGGCTCTATATTTCCGGCTGGGTGTTACTCAAAAACGGAACTTTATGTCATTTCCAATTCGTTTACACCGGGTATGGTTGCCCGTTCACACGAGTCTGGGGCCTATGGCAGACACTCTTCAATAACCGAATGATATTTGGTGAGAAAAAAATGAACTTCCAAGTTAATGAAAATCAGGAAGATCCTGTATCAGCTATACAAGCTCCTTGACGGTCATGATTTCGGTCATGAATTATGAGATGGAAGATCACCTTGATCCAAATCATTTCCAACAGAACTAGGTCCACATTCGATAAACTTCTCCTGTAATTGTGTAAGATCAGCAGCAAACACCGTCACTTGATCTTGAGTAATCTAGCGACAAAAATATAGAGATATAAACTTGTTGAAGAGGTTTTTTGATGATGGAAATAAGTGAAATTTCCATCCTTTGAAAAAACCTTGAACACTTAGAGAAGCTCAAAATCCTGACTAAATACTAGTCAAAACTTTAACACCTAACTTTATCAAATATAAGACCAGACTTACTTCAGTAAATTTCATCTTCACAGAAACCAAGCTGGCATCGACCCACTTTGACTGCAGAAACAGATCCTCCCACATTTGAGTAATAGAGTTTGATAGTTCGAGCTCAGCTTCTGGAACCTAAACCAAATTAATCAATTAATCAAACACCAATAAGATCAATCACGCAATGCCATCAATTAATCAAACTAATCAAATCAATATATTAATCCAGTCAATTAATCACAGCAAACAATCAAATCAATCCAACCAATTAATCAAACCAATCAATCAATCAATCAATCAATTAATCCAATCAATTAATCAAACCAATGAATCAATCTAATCAATCGAAACAGTCAATCAAATCAATTAATCAATCCAATTAATTAATCAAACCAATCAAATTAGTCAATCAATCAATCCAATCAATTGATTGAACTAATCAATCAATTCAATTAATCAATAAAATCAATTAATCGAACCAAATCAATCAATCCAATCAATTAAATCAAATTAGTAGATCAATCAATTGATCAAATAAAATAATCAACCAAACCAATCAATTACCAAATAATCAATAGATCGCTCATTCAATCAATAGATTACCCAATCAATATTTTAATATCACTCACGTATATAATCTTCATACCTCAATTTCATATACCAGTAGTGTTCTATATCTCTCAACAATATCTTTAATTCTCAGTTCAACATCCAGTGACATATCTCTGATGCTGGCAATCACTCTCAGCACAAACTTCAAGTCTTCTAAAGTATCTGGTGCTCGTTTCAAGTCGTTCGATAAATTCTAAATAGACAGACAGATAGTTTAGTATGATTTTACATCACAGTCTACTGTGGCTAAAGAACGATAACGCTTTATTAACTTTACAGCGCGGCTCGCTGGAGTGTTACAGCAGCAGTGAACTTTAGCCTGAAATGCAGGCGCTCGCGGGCTTGGTTGCCTTGGAGGCTACAGTGAACCTTTGCTAGGTACCTCCATTTCCATTTTCAAAGACATCAAATTTTGTTTCGCAGATTCGTTCAACAGACGACCCAGTTCCTTTACCCAAGCACGGGCGTTAGCTTGTACGGTAAACGCCAGCGGCTCCAACTGCAGGCGCACAAAATCAATATCCTTCGACATTGGCTGATTCACAACCTAAAATGATCAGAAATGATAAACAATGTTCTCTTTGCCTAACGCCGCAAATATGGCAAAACAATAAGTGACTGGTTAGCAGGAATGGAACGCCGGTCACAAAAATGGAAGGCACACATGTACTAGCCAAACCACTTTGCAACAAACATTCTACAATGATGATTTTATATTCATTTGGTAGAACTAACCTCATTCGCTAAATTTGAATAAAACTGCAACTTCTCATCGTACTCGATACAAGACGGGTTCTTCGCAGCAAACTTTTCAACCATTGTAGCCTGGAAAAATCACGAAAATATGGTAGAGTTTTCCCTCGAGATTCTATCAACTAAACCCTTCAACATCCATGCCTGAGAGTGCATGAGTCGAGTTGGTAGTCACGTGATCTTGGTTAGCTGTTCTTAATACTTTCCTAACACTATCATGTATTCTATTTTAAGTTAAAACATAGTTGAAATACTCATCAAACCTTTATGTTGTTAATCTAGAGCTCGAAATATCCCCTGTAACAATACGTGACTGGCAACTCTAATCAACTCTCATCCTCGTTTGACTGAAGCCTAAAGCCCCGTCCAGAACAAGCTTTCCTTGACAAATTTCCTTAACAAGTTTGCCTCGTGTGTACGGTCAACAAGTTTTGCTTGACAGGTTTTGCTGCTCATACGTGCTCGGAATGTTGTTAAACATTTATCTCACGTCAAGGCAGCCAAAACCATAGAAGTATTTCTTGTACATATATCAAATTTTCCTTGGCAACCGTACACACGAACAAATTTTCCTTGTCCAGAAGCTGGCATGTCTAGTTTTGGAACATGGCTGGGAAAAATTGTCAATTTTTTGACCGTACATACACTCATCACTCCAACTTGCTCATCTGTACTGAACTGTGCTTCAACTAACCTTGTCCAACTTCCAAAGGACTCGATATCTCTTCCATCGACTGAGAAACTTATTAAGTGATCCCAAAGTATTTTGCACCGTCTTGGAGATGTTTTGTACGAGTTCTATGACCGTGGAGTTATGAGAGATATCAGAGAAGAAACTGAACATAACTGGTTCGTCTTCACCCTCGGCATGTTGTGGTGGAGTTTCAACACAGGTTCCGTGCATCCAGCGAACAAACTGTTTCGTACTAAAACAATGCACAAAGAATCGTTTGTTTTAATACTACCTACCGTCCAGACAAGATTTCTAAAAATATATTTCCAAATTTATAAACAGGATGTTAGGAAGTTTGCTTTGAATTTTAGGTTAACTTATCGGCTTTCGAAAAGCTGGCCCACTCAACTTTCTATAGGACGTTTTTTAGTAAATTGAAGGACCTAAACCAGGAAAAATCTTTGAAAATGGCAAGGATTTTGCTTTTCAATTATTCGAAATGAGTAGTCTTAAGTTGTTCGATTATTATCAGCATAGCTGGAAAGAAATACCAAAATACGAGGACTTTGAAGGACCCTTAATAATTTTCAAGGGCCGGGCTTTCCTACTCTGCTCAAAGACTGGTTTTTTTAGGGCTAAGCGAGCAGGCTAGGACTTTCCAGATCTGGATTATTTTTTTTTTCAAATTAAGGACCCACTTTCAAGGCCCGTGACCACCCTAGGTGTGGTTGCTCTATTCATCCAAGGTTAGAGACTTATGATACACGTGCACAAAAACTAAGACTATGTATTTACTCCGCTTTCCTCCTATACATTTACTGTGGGAGGAAACCGGAGTACCCGAAGAAAGCCACGACGTTTGGTTGAGTGTTGACGGACTCTTTTCAACATAAGTGCCATGTGTCCACAGCGATAATCAAGCGCACGACCTCAGAGATGAAACCCAAGGGTTAGACCACCGAAGCCCTAAGGGTTAGTCTTTGATGTGGGAAGAGAACCAGAGGACCAAGATAAAGCTTACCTCTCAACGCTGTCTCGTACAGTCTGCAAAGTGATTTTAAATATTTCCCCAGCAGATGGATTGAGGACAATCTCTGGTGCAGAAAGGATGGTCTCAACTTGAAACAAAGGCTGTTTGGATTGCAGCTTTGTGAGAAATGAACGCAGATTACGAGTCACCATCTGGAAAATACGATGAAAGATATTTGTTTAAAAATTACTACTTGTGCACCATCAAAATCTGAACACTTCTCTAATTTGTTACCTGAGTAAGTCCATCATATATCAAGTTTTCCCAATACGCATAGTACGGATGTAGTTTCGGTGAACGTCCAGAGTTAGTATGTACAACCAATCCCTCCATCTTGGTCAGTAATGGACCAATAGCGCGATACTTTCGAACCAACGTCTCCGTCTCTTTCCGAGAACATCGGGTCAAGTGTTCAAAATATTCCTAAATCGATTGAAATTGTCGTGTTGAGTAAAAAGTTTAAAAATCCAACGAAGCCAAGTTGCTACTGTTTAAAATCTTCATTGAACAAGTTTGTTTACAACTTGATAAAATAACAAGCTTGTTACAACTTGTAAACAATTACTCTTGCTACAGGTTTGTCCGTCAACAAGTTGTGAGATTTTTACGTGTGCGTAGAAGGGCACTCAGAGACTGCACGTAAACCCAGATGAAAACATAACATCTGGCAGAAGTAACATTAAAAAGAGTTTAGCTTCCCCCCTTAAGAAAAAAAACTAGCGGGTCCCCTGACTACAAAGTTTGCAAAAGCATACTGCGAAATTTCTAATACGCCAGTGCGTTGAGAACCTTAAGTTGGCCCAAGTCATTCGCAGGTAACCGGGTTACCGTGGATCCCAAATTCTGCCTTCCTTTCATCGATTTTAGCATCCTCTTTTTCCCAATATTTCTACATTTCCAACATGCTTCTCTGTCGTTTCTCTCCCCCAGACAATCGCTACGTCTTACCTTACTATCAGGTAATCCAGATCCTAACTTGGGATGATAACGTTTAAACAGAACCGTACGTTCCAGCAACATCAAACGACTATTGATATCTTTTGCATTTTTCTGAACTTGATTCACGAGCGATTCAAACTTGCTCAAAGCCTAAAACACAAACAGTATATACGAATCATGGCACGGAATCGTTTCAAAACTGTACAGAAACTTATTAGCAAATGGACCATTCCACTTAATTTGAGGCACCCCCCTATTGAGGAATCCCATCATAATCCCTTTAGGATATAAAAATTTTGGAACCCCCTTGGATGCAATTTGTGGAAGTTATCCCAGAGAATATCTTACTAACGTACCCTTTAGGATGTCGCTTTTCCCCCTTGGATATCACTAAAATACCTAATTTTTGTCATTTTTAAAAAATCTCTCAAGCCACCCTCTAGAAAAATTTAAGATGAAGACCTCCTCCCCCATTGAATACCAGACCTTCAATGGGGGGGGGGGGGGGGGTGCACATATGGAATGGCCCAATACAGTCAGAAATGAACTTCAGCAACCAAATTTGTCGTGTGAGTGACTTTACCTGATCGCATCGAGTGATGTAATCACTTATTCCGAGTGAATTCCAGTTCAATCTTTTATGTCCAGGTTTTAAGACACGTTTTAGTTCTTTGATGTGGTCATCGAGTAACTGCGTCTGAAAATGATATATATATGGATCTTCATTTTGAAGCTTTATCTAGAACCAACTATCAAGTATCATTTGTAAACACGAACTATCCAGTCATGCAGAACAACTTTCAAGCGTTTCACAAAAAATTTCGTTTTTTGCGGTAATCAATGCCAACATAAGTATGTTTTACCGTTCACTCGGAAAATCACTAAATGCCATGCATCAAACCTCGCAACTGTTAAATAAAACCATTTCCACGTTGAACCAATGAGGGGGGGAGGGGGGGGGGTCGGCGGTAGAGGGGTAACATATTGTCTGGATAGAAATTTGTCATCAATGGCCTCCCTTTCGTCTTAAAATTGCTGGTGAATAACTAATGAAGTCATCACTAATATGGCCGCATCGAGTCGTTTTATCTGGCGTATATAAAACGTGCAATCTCTACTCATTATAAAATTCAGCTTTCAAAAGTAGTTCATTGAATTCAAAATGTTACACTATCCAGTCATCATTTCAGCTCAGTGGAAACATGAGAATACTATAAGTCGTATATGGGATGGTCATGGGATGGCTACACGTCATCATATCATACATAGGCAATGAGTAAATCTCGTGATCGACCACAGGTCAACACCTGTCAACATCCAGAACTTAATCAAACATTCTTACTCATTCACTGTTGACTATTAGTCCATCGCACAATTTGATTTTGAAACAAAACTATTTAACCCCTGTACAATGACTTTGTATTATAACCACAATTGGCAAAAATATGACTGTAATCCCTAAGACAAAAAATTAAGACAAAAATATTACTGTAATCTTTAAATGCTTGAAAAGTCAAACAGTTATTCGGGGAAAACCCTCGTAATTAACTATTACAAATTTGGCGACAGAATTACTCATGTGTCACAACAAAACATATGGCGGCAAACGTAATAGTATTAGACTTTCCTTTTACAAAAGTCGAAGAAAACAAAAAAATTGGCGAGGGAAAACTAAACGAAGCGATACATGCCGTATGTGCACTTTTAAACAGCAACGGTGGAATCCTCAAGTTGCATTCGGCTACGAAAGAAACTTTTAACTTCGACAAATTGGTTAGGAAATTCGAGCAACGTATTAAAGAGCTCGTAGGTTGTTTTGAAAGTTGTAAAAACTTTGAGGTACTATCGATCCCGTCGGGTGAGAAATACACCGAAGTTGTTTTTGGAATAGCAAGCTCAGAGGACTTTTGCACCGTGAACTACCATTTATATTTGCCGCATGAAACGCAAGTGAATTTAATCGCGCCGACCGAACCGTTAAAAAACGTACGTAGTATTCTAACCGGGCCACGACTTATAGAATGCGAACAGCTAATACAGCTCGGATCACATCGAAAAAATTTTATCGAAGGGGAAAATATCGGCTCTCCTGAATCGAAAACCGAACAATTTAAGAAAGTTAAGTGCGAAGCAACGAAGAACGTGTCATTAGCGGACCGTATGGTCAGCAAACACATTAGATTCGCGTGTTATGTTTCAGCTTTTGCCAACCACCGAGGCGGGCATATATATTATGGTATAAAAGATGACGGCTCGGTCGAAGGCGAGATTTGTGGCCAGAACGACGAAGAGGTTAGATGTTTCGACAATTGTTTTATTATCTTTATTTAATTTGTTAAAGGCATAACATAGGATTTTAGTTGTAAATTGGGCCGATTTGCTTGTACAAGAGGGGGATAATCCGTCAACACGCTAAGACGCATTGCCATGCTCAAATCTCCGTCACAGTGTGAACTAGGGGCTGTTCATATGAGCCAGGCCAGCCCGGCTATAGCCGAGATGGATCGTATCAGGACATTTTTTCCTGAATATTAAAAGTTCGTTTGAATGAACTTTATACCGCTACTAGATCAAACTAAGCGAACTGTGAAATGTCATTTTGATGTTTATCGAAGACGTGATAAGAGGTTTATTAAACCGATCATCCCGGGTAACCGGGCCAGCCCAGCCCCATATGAAAGCCCCCTAGAGCTTAAACACCGTCTGGATGAACCTAGGCTGTCCTCGCTCAAAACGTCGACGTTCTTGATATATTTTTCTGGTAGTTCGATGCCGTAATCCTTCAAGCATGTCGTCTGGCAATGGCCCGATTTTACACGAGACGGATGTCCGTTTTGGCAAAGAAATGTTATTTCGTCTGATAATTTGTCTGTGTATCGACGAAACGTGCTTGCGCTTGGTGTCTCAGACAAAAATTTGGTTTTTCGTACGTATTTGACTGGAATTTGCTTCGGGCAGGGAAACATTTTCACTGCAATAGTAAACTGGAATCAACATCTTACAAAATATCTTTCTGACAGCTGATAATAGCGGTATGATTGGCTGAAATTTTAACGGAATTTTAACATCAGAGAACCGGTGTATTAAACTATCTTTCTATCCATCTATGTAGGTTATCACTGCCAGAGTTAACAAAGCTATATGTAAAATGCTTTGGCCAAATAACGCTCCGCAAAGAGGCAAACATTGGGATATATTCTTCGAGCCGGTTACAGACAGCGGATATAAACAAATCCCATCAACCTTTGTGGTCGTGGTCACGGTGGTGCAATGTGCCGGTGGGGTTTTCGCCGAGAAACCGGAAAGCTATCGAGTTGTTAACGGGAAACCGGAAGCCATCCCATTCGAGATTTGGAAGAAATGCATCAGCTCAAAGCAGAGGTCTCCAGAGTGCGACGGAGGAAAGGCCATGGGTTCGAGGTCAAGCTCAAATCACAACTCAAACCTTCACAGGTGAGAACGGGGGGGGGAGGCTTACTACTTATTTAAGTCTGCCACTAGTTTGAGTTTGGCAAATACAACGTCAACGTCAATGAGGGCGTGCTCATCGACAATAGCAATACTCTGAGACAAAGGCGACTCTAAACTGTTCAAGGGTGCATGAAATTTAAGTCGGTTCTTTAATTTTTTCTATGTCAAGTGTGCTTGTTCAAAAGTTACAATCTTTGACAAAAACAAACTTTGTCGCCCATCCCCTAAGTTCAATGCTGGAAATATCGCCGAAACAACTTTTGGTAATTTACCATGACACAAGCTCAACATTGAGTTGGGGGGGGGGGGGGTAATTAAGAAGCGTAACAGGATTCAACATCAGAGGGAAAAATAGTCTCAACCAGGTAGGTCCAAGATTGTAGCATACAAGCTATATATATCGACATGAGTCACCTTCATATGTTCACGACTGCAAAGCAGGCTGAAAATACTGCTATTGTTATTTGTAGGTTTGCGAATCGCAGAGATAAAGTCCTGACTGGCATACCACGTCGTAAAGGGGGTGCGACCAAGTTGGAACAGTCATGTTTACAGAGCAGAGAGCGTTTGGCAAGATTTCGTAACAACGGGAACACAACTGGTTTTGAGAAATACGCCAAAGAGCTTGCCAATCAAGCAGATTGTTTTAACGCCATAGTTTGGCAGCAAAGAGCAGCATGCAAATACAGAGAACACCAGTTTGAGGAGGCATACGAGTTCCTTCAGAGAAGTAAAAGTCTTTTAGCATTAGGTATGAAAAATCTATGGGCTTGGAGTTGAGAAAAATCATCTAACAAGCTAGACATGTCTGACGATTCGTCTTTCTTAGCGTAAACACAAGACGTACAATCCAGAGGACCAGCTAGAATATTACAATCTATACAGGAAATGGTCTTAGGAACAAATCATGCCAGCTATTTTCCTGATATTTCGTCTAAGGTCCGTTTACACTAGTTGGTATGATTTTCTTCTTCTGATAAATGTGAATAAGTGGACGAGTTAGGAATGTTCAGATGAGAGTATATATATACTCCCTCATCATATATTCCCAACTGATCTACTCGAATCAGTGAAATGGCTGGACTAGCATGATAATGGACCTTTAACCTTATAACTAAAATTTTGATCTAGACAAAAAGTTCATCACAGCTTGAAAGAGCATCACAAAATTAGTAATATTCCAAAGTTTCGTTGTGAAATGTTGTAAAATGCGGATAATATAGCCCGGCGAAGTTTGCAATTTTCAGTCATTTTAGATTACAAACGGGAAATTGATACCCAAAAACGGCAAATTTCGCAAGGCTATATTATCCGCAATTTACAACATTTCGCAACGAAACTTTGGAATATTACTAATTTTGTGATGCTCTTTCAAGCTGTGATGAAATTTTTGTCTAGATCAAAATTTTAGTTATAAGGTTAAAGGTCTATTTGCTGATAGTTTATTCTATTAAATGCCGTATCAATATACATAGCTTGATCTTGCCAGAAGAATCAACGAGACAAACTGGCTAGAATAAAGTACTCTATATACTGGTAATGATTCTGGGAAGCAACTACAAAGTACAAACGTTCTTCTCAAAGGCGTATGAAATTATAACCATACAACCACATATTGCAGAAATCGAACAGAGGTCACACTAACTAATGTGACACAAACGCCCCAGAATTTACAACATTCTGTATTCTCTTATATAGCTCACGAGAGTCATCCAGTCTTAGAAATTGAGAATCTCTACTGGGAATCTCTAGTCAGTCGCGTTCTAGGAAATTACAAAGAATGCGACAGTTATCGAAGACTAGGAATGCAGCAAATGGAATCGTGTCCGCCAGACATCATTGGTGCCTGGTTCTTTTTCCAGGAAGCCCGTGCGATAGAGCGGCTTATTTCTTGGAATCCTTGCCAGATGTCCAACCAAATACCTCAAGCGAGACTTTGTTATATCGAAGCACTGAGACAGGCCTCGATGTTGGAAGAATCGACGAGCGTAGCCGAGTTAAAGCAGAGATGTCACACACGTTTGGCGATGCTACATCTTGGCTGCTTCTTCCACGAAAGCGAAATCACACGAACACAAGATGTAGTACAGCACGACATCGAAGAAGCTGAGAAAATGCTTGAGGTTGTGAACAGGTCTAGTAGGTAAGCTGGTTGTTTTGCCATAGTAGTAGAAGATTTGTATGTGTAATGACTCTTGTCCAATGATAATAATTTTTTCATGCGGCGAAAACCCTCGAAGCATAGGAGAAAATCATTGTTTCCAGCTTGTTGACAAGTTGTCAACGGCTTGTTGACTTGTTCCAAGTTGTTCCAACAACTTGTTATCGTCCTGCAATTCAAAAAATTTGTCAACAAGTTGTGAGTGACGACCTTGTAGCAACTTGATAAAATAACAACATTGTTACAACTTGTTGACAAGCTTGCTACAAGCTTGTTGCGAACACATCTTGTTGACCGCAAGTTGTCGTACATATATGCGACGTTCGGTTGTTATTTTAGGGTGCAAGGATGGCCGTTGACAGAATTCTGTCGTTGCGAGTACCTCTTGGCAAGAGCACAGCAGAATGTACGAAATTGGCAACAGTTACAGGACGAGTACTTCTTAGAGTTAGCCCAAGAGGAGAGCAGCAAGGCACATGATATTTGCGAGAAGAAAAATTTTCAAGAAATGATGAATTTTGTAGATGCTGAACTTGATGAGATTAATCACTTGAACTGTACATAGATTATATATTGTGATATAATAAGTTAAATTCCGCTAAGAGACTGTATTATATATAAACTAGATAGTTCAATCAGTTCTAAACTGCTCTCCCTAGAATCACCCCAGGCAAAGCATGAAAGTTCAAAGAACTAAAAAGAAGAACTGAGATTTCCAGCATGGTGGCTGGCGCTAGTCTAACCAAACTATCTTTATTTATACTGAATAGCTCTATCAGTAATGGACTTAGAGGTGGTCTTAGAGGTCAAAAGTAAGCCAATCCCTCGTTGGACCGTTGGTCACTGCACCACAGGGGGAACCTAAACTATACTTACTTTGTTAACACTGGATAGCTCTTACCTCAGTCTCTGGGATCCAGTATAAGGGTTGACAGAGGTATTGATGTTTAATTATCCAGGATAAGTTATATTTCACGCCATATAGCTACAGTATTTGATGTAAGTATGCGCTGTATATATAGTATGTATACTGTAGTAAATATTACAATGTAAATATTATTTCGGTTGTATTATATTCGCATTTTGAAGTGTGCTGAAAACGCTGAAAAATACTCATACAATGAAGAACTCGCACCCTGGAAGTTTGCCGTCAACAAGGTCAGAATTAGTGCAAGATTATTCATGTACTATTTAAAAAACGAGCAGGAGTGTTTTGTTAGGTTTAAAGCCACGAGCGCGCAGCGCGAGTGGCTTTAGACCTAATAAAACAACTTAAAACACGACCTGCGAGTTTTTTAAATGGCTTCAAAAACGTTTGCATAATAAGTCAAATCTTTATATAAAAATCTTTATATAAAAATCTTTATATAAAAATCTTTATATAGTTTGCATAACAATGGTCTTTTGTTAAAGTGTTCTTTAACTGGTATAAAAACGTATGCACGTGACTAATTTCTTACTCAAGATTGGATAATTGCTTCATGAATTATTAACGAGTTTTTGAAGTATATATTATACTGCGGTATTACTGCCCATCATACTACTCTATACTCGAAAATTTAATTATATATACTACTCTACACTTGATAAAGTTTGATCAAGTCCTAGGACTGGATGAAGTTTTGAACAAGTCTGAGCACTGGATAAAGTTTGATCAAGTCCTAGGACTGGATGAAGTTTTGAACAAGTGTGAGCACTGGATAAAGTTTGATCAAGTCCTAGGACTGGATGAAGTTTTGAACAAGTCTGAGCACTGGATTCAGTTTGATCAACTCCTAGGACTGGATGAAGCCCTAAGACTGTATAAACAAACTACAAATACTAAAACATCTCTGCACGCCTTTGCCACTGATCTTAATAGACAAGTGGTCTTTGCGTGCCTGCATGATGGTGAGGAACATATTTTGACCATAAAAGGTCATGCTTTATATCAGAATTTATTAGCTGATGGTTCATATTTCAAAGTATATAAAGACAATTAAAACTTCAAGGCAACGACAGCAGAAAACAGACAAGCATTGATCTTACAAGGGAAACAGTCAGATTTCAGAATGTGAGACTCTATTAATCAGTGAATAAGTTAAGCAATGGCAACAGGTTATGAAGATAGCAGATTTGAAACACAAGTTGACGAAAGCCTTCATTGCGTAATATGCACAGAAGTATTAAAAGATCCAGTACAATGTCGCAGGAATGAACATCATTTCTGCAGGAATTGTATCACTAAACATCTACGACATTCACGGAACTGTCTGACATGTAAAGACCCCTTGACCGTAGAGACCCTGGCCAGACCTCAACGATTCCTGGCGAACACTCTGTCAAGTTTGAAGATTTCGTGCGAGAATTCCGAGCGTGGTTGTCGCAAGGTCGTCGAACTTGGCTCACTCGACACACACGTAGCAACTTGTGGTTTCAGTCCAATGCCATGTTCCAACGATCAATGTGAGGAAATAATAAGTCGACGTGATAAAGAAATCCATGAAAATAAAGTCTGTGATTTTCGACGAGTCAAGTGTGATTACTGCGCCCAAATGGTGCTGTATAAGAACTTTATGCAGCATACATGCCCACCAAGGCAAGAAATTCGTGAAATCAAAGCCGAGTTAAGGGAAGTTCGTTCCACTTGCGATCAGATGTTGAGAATGATGTCAAATCTTACCACGATTGTGAGTAATATACCACGACGTCCAGAAGGCAGTCATGAAAGCAGTGATCAGGAATTGCAAGCCGAGATTGTTGTCGCAGGGGGGGTGCATTGTAAATCTGTCGAAGTGTTCAATATGGCAACCAAAACATGGCGACCATTGTCAGAGATGAATGAATGTAAAGATGGAGCAAGTTCAGTTTTATACCAAGGTCACATGATTGTGACTGGCGGATTTTCCGACCAAGACCTGGACAGTGTTGAAAAACTAAATCTTGTAGATGGCCAATGGATTGAAGAAATTCACTTCAAATTACCAGCACCGTCCAATAGCCACACATGTGTGGTACATCAAAATCGTCTCCTCGTCATTGGAGGAGATTTTCCCGACAAGATCAGTAATGCAATACATGAAATTCAGCTGACTCCTCCCTATACATCAAGGTTGCTTACCAAGATGCCACGGGCAATATGTTACCATGGTGGTGAGATAGTGAATGACAAGGTTTACATTTTTGGTGGCAGTACAACAGGATTTGGGGAAGCCACAACAGACTATGTCCTTATGTTTGACCCAGCAACCAATACTTGTAAAGAGCTCAATCCACTTCCACATCCGGTATCACATATGGCAACAGTAGCTTGGAAAGACAATGTGGTCGTCCTTGGCGGGGAGGACAAGGAAGGCAACATCTTCAGTGAAGTAATATTGTATAATGTTGCTACAAAAAGGCACCGTATGTTGCCAGAGATGAGACAGAAGCGACGTGGTTGTACAGCAGTGACTATCGGTGATAATATTATCGCAATGGGTGGTAAGGATGAAACTAACACTCGACTCAGGTCTGTCGAATGTTATAATTTCCAAACGAACACATGGACGGAGTTCCCAGCCATGGCTGAAGCACGAGTTTATGCTACTGCTGTTGTAAAATATCCCTAAGATGCTTTACATTTTAGTACAATTAGAAACTCAGAATCTGTATATATCGTGGTTAATAATTATATTTGCTTACCTCAGCATGGTTTAAACTTGATAAAATCGCGTGATATTGGGACAACATTTGCTTCAAGCCATCAACATACTTGATATATTTTTCCTCCTAAAATGTACAGAGTTTTGACCTTCTTATACAATCTACGTCAAAGAGTGCCTTACGTATGTAAAACAACCAAAGAGTTTGAAATATTGCACAAAAGTTACAAAACTACCGTTGCTATGGTTACAATACCGTTTCGAAAACGACATCGGTGACCCCCAATTTTAATTATTATAAAATGATTTCTCTTAATATATTGAATTACTGTGATAATTTAGAAAAAAATCGGTCGAGTAAAGTTTGAAAGGTTTTGAGTAAACAGAATTCTTTTCAAAATTTTCAAAATAGTTCAATATACCAAGAGAAATCATTTTATGAAATAAAATTGGGGGGACACCCCAAAATATCCGACATATTGAAACGTCATTTTCACCATAGCAATGACAGTTGTATAACTCTTTAGATGTTGTTTTACATAAGTAAGATATTCTTCGTTTTGAAACAAAACCATGATAGAATCAAACTCGAGGAACAGTGATGAAAAGCGCGTCCACAAATTTTTGAAAATTTGGAGAGCTACTGGACATTCGTTTGAATGAAGATTTGCTCTTGAAAATTTTAAGGAAACCTTAACACCCATGTCCCACTTTGGGCGCAACAACATATGGTTGACAGTCTGACAGTCTATTCCTTGAATTTAAAACCATGGTCAGCTAGAACACTATATGCAGATTTAGCACAAAAATACTCCGTTGGTCTGCAGGAAATGTTTGTCTCCAGGTTGTGCTCCCAGGAAGAAAATTATTTTTCCTGTCCTGATCCCAAACGTCTTGAAAAGAAACCCTGAATGTGCAATACCAGATTAGGGAAGGTGGGGCTCTCTGTGACATGTATATAAACCCCCACCTACCTGTAGTGAAACGTTTCGTGCCAGCTCAGGCACATGGAAGCCAAGCTGTTCCATATATTTTGTCTCTGTAATGATTTCGTACAATTCCGGGGCAAAGTCAACCACATACTGTACATCAACGTGACAGCCTATCAAGACAATAGAACCTTTCGAGTTTATTGAGTTTCACTCACTCATTAATTGGTGAGCATATTTCCCAGTAAGCTATTGCCCAGCTGTTAGGGGATCCGAGGACGCCGAGAGGTACCTACGATCATGAACAAGCTTTCGTTGGTAGGCATGCAACTACCTGAAAATAGGTGTTTCGGTGGCGAAGTGGTTAGCGCACTTGACTTTCACCTCTGAGGCCGCAGGTTCAAATCTCAGTAAGAACTTTCTCAATGCGACTCGAACCCAGTCCTCGTGTGAAAAGAGTAAAAGCCAACGCTCTGCCGAAAGTCGTCGGTTTTCTCCGGGTACTTCGGTTTCCTCTCACAGAGAAAGTTGACAGGGTGGTTTAGGTGAAAGGGCCTACAGTAATTGGCACATGCTGTTGTGATGACCCTGCCCTGGTTGGCAAGGCCAAAAAAAAAATATGTGGGTTTCCGGTTTCTTCTTATAAAAACTTAGGTAGGGTAGGTCGGTTTTAACTTTTTTTTTTAAACTTTTTTTTTAATTTTCCGAACAACCGGACGGC